ACCCACTCGGGTTCTTGATAATGTAAGTCTTATTCACTCAATAACTTCTTTTTTCCCTTCTGTTCCAACTTTGCAAAGTCTTCCTCCTCGAGTGTTTGGGTGTGTTGTCTTTATTCATGTTCATAAACAGCATCGCAGTAAGTTAGATTCTAGGGCTCTTAAATGTGTTTTCCTTGGTTATGCTCCTAATAAGAAGGGCTACAAGTGCTATCACCCTAGCAGTCGAAATTTTTTTGTTTCTATGGATGTTTCGTTTTAGGAATCTGAGTCTTTTTTCCAAGATCCTCATCTTCAGGGGGAGAATAATTCACCAAAAAACTCATCACCTTCCTTCTTTGAGTTTGAATCTTCAGTGTCTACTCCTTCACCTCATCCTCTTGTTTCTGTTCCTTCTGTGTCTGTGTTTGATCCTCCTGTGACTGATCGATCAAGTACACCAGAGATACGGAAGATTGTGACACCTGAATTGGTATATCATAGAAGGAAACAACCCACATTGCCTCACCAGCAACCTCAATTGTCTGAACCTCTGGTAAGTTCTGAATCTTATAGGTATTAAGGTGATGGATGAAATATAGGTCAGGTTCAATTTCCCTGACACAGCAATACTGCAACAATGCTATAACGATGATATATCAATGCTTAATTAGTAACCGACACTAAAATATGATAGGGCTTTTGGCCAACCTAACATATATACCCAATAACTAATTTTCACATCTCTATGGCCAAACTAATTACTGAATTGTTAAAGTTCAAGTTCAAAGGCTATGTGGTGTGAATGATCTCTCTACCCATAACTTAATCAAGCTACTCTTGACCTAATTAATCCACACAATTCAACAAGGGTCTGGATTCGGAAACTTCTCTGCCCCAACCTCCACAATATCACATATGTATATCTCGACATGCATACATGAATAAGAATAAGCAAACTCGTTGAATAACTAATTAAACATTAATAAAAACAAAGTTAAAGCATACATCTCAGTGTTACAGCATAGGTACTTTATCATCTAACCTATAGAGCAATTTAGCTCATAATAGAATTAAATAAAATAGAGAAGTGGAAGAAAGAACTCATTGAAAAAAAGAAAAGAAGATGAAATGAATGCTGTTGTAAAACTCTGTCACAGTCTTGCTCCAGCAATGCTCTAGCAGCTCTTCCTCCTCTAAGAATCTTACTTTCTCTCTCTAAAATGACCCTTATGACTTGACTTCGCTTCCCTACTTGTTTCTTTGACTTCTCAACCTCTCTCTAACCTTCGTTCCAACTTTTCGACCTATGGCCTGCTTTTGGAATCCGTGGGGGACACCTCTTTAAATAGGAAAAGTGGTTGGATAATTGGGCCTTAGGTTTGGGAGTCAGATTCCATGAATCGTGTTGCTGCAGCCTTATCTTATCTCTAGTTTCTTGGGCTGTTGGCACTTGATTGGATAAGATCTTGATCTTCTTGTGCCAATATTGTTGTTGACTATATACGAGTTTGTTGTCCTTGATCCTTGCAATTTTAGGATAAGAATTAATCTTTAAAAATGTCCTTGATCCTTGCTTGCTGGTGTTTTATCCATTTGTTGGGGAATAACTAACTTTTGAATTTTGAAAATTCAGTTGTTGCCTTGTCCTCGCTTTCATGTTATACTGGTTGCTATATCATTACTTCGTCAGCTTTTCTGCTACAGCATTCTGACGTCAACTTTTTCTACAAAGACAAACACTCAACAAGTCATCTTTTCTTATACAAAATCAAGGAATATTGCCTCATTTTCCATACTTAGTCATCTCAAAGCACTTAATCATGAATATGCAACATTTAGCTTAATTATTATGCAAACAAGACAACTTATATGAAATTTATGCAGCAAATTCATCATAAAAATATCAAATTACCTCTCATTTGGGAGAGTCAACAGTTACCACGCCCTTTACCGTCGCTATTGCCTCGACCTCGTCGTCCACGACCTCAACTTCGACCGCCGTTGTTCTGTTCAGCCATTTATGTGACAACCAAAACTCTGATTACTAAATAAGGCCGAAGCAGTAACCAATTGGCTAAACAGAAAGAAAGAACGAAACAAGAATTGCAAGAAAACATTTTTCTCTTTTCTTAATTTTATTTAACCAAAAACAACCGAATAATAATAGGGCTCTCCAAGCCTTAAATAAGAAAAATAAAATAACAAAAAAGTAAATAACTATAATCATGCGCAATTAAAGGAGATAACGAACAATCAACGCACACTCAAACATAATCTAAAAATAACAAAAAGAAAAATAATTAACAATTATTGAAATGCCCTAAACTATGGAATAAATTCTAGAAAAGCCCAATCCAAGTCAGTCAGCTCAGAAGCATATGTGATTGTGATTTGTTTTGCAAGAAAAGGAAAGCAACACATTTGGCATGATTTGAAATTGAAGATTTGGGATGTATTTTGAATTATTTATTTAATTTTAAAATTAATTACTATTATATTTATTTTAGGAAGTTTTATTATTTTTAGGATTTTTGAACTTTGAATTTTGAATCAATTTGTAATTAGCCTATAAAAGGGTGTTTATGACCCTTATTCTAGGAGTTGCATTTTGTTATTTTGATAATTATAATTGAGAACCAGAGGGTTACTCTTTTGTGAAATCTTAACTTTCTGTTTAACCACTTTTCTATGCGTTTTCGGCATCATTTGGTATTAGAGCACTAGGTTGCCTTAAACCAATGGCTGAACAAAATCGTGGAGGTCGACGACGGTGGAGTCACGAGGGTAGGGAACGTGGATTAATTCCTGAAGAATATAGACAACTGTGTTAGATTGACCCGTGAGATATAGAAAATGAAGAGCTCGGAAGGCGGATCCAGGATTTGAAGCAACAACTTGAGCAAGCGTTGGACAAGAAAATCCAAGTTTTGAAGCGACTATGTATGTGGGCACAAAGAAAGAGAATTCAAGATTTGGAGCGACGACTCGTGCGGGTATGCATGAAAATTCAAATTTTGAAGTAAACTCTTGTGCAGGTGCAGAGCATGGAAATCCAATATTTGGAGCGGCGACTTGCGTGTACAAAGTTGGGCATTCAATCCGAAGAAAGAATGGAATTAGATGACGCATCTGATCACGAAGAAGAGAACATCAATCTCTTGGGGATTCTAAACCAAGGACAAAATTGGGAACTACGACCTGGAAATTAGTCCACTTTTCAAGATATCGAGATGCAAATCAGCATTCATGACTTTGAAGTCTATGATCATAATCTAGTTTGTGATGATGATCCGATCTATGATGATAATTCAATTTATGATGATTATCCGATTGTTGATAATTATCCCATTTATGATGATTATCCATCTTATGATGAAGATTCAGTTAATGATGATAATCCAATCTATAATAAATCTGATGGAGAATCAGATTATGAAGATCTAATAGAGGAAGATTTATCATTTGAGTTTTTGTCTAAAGAAATTGAGATCAGTGAAGATAAACAAGATTCGAGGATGAATCTTTTTCTAATAGGGGAGAATGATGCAATTACAATTAGCCCATTGTACATGGCCCAACCATTGATTCAAGAAGCTCGAAGTCGACTAGAGTCGTGGCCCAATAAGAATGACCCAATTGTTGAAAAAGGCAATGATTTGAAATATAACAAATTACAATCGAATCCAAGTCCCAATAAAGCAGCAAATGTGATTGTGATTTGTTATATTTCAAATCATTGCCTTTTTCAACAATTGGGTCATTCTTATTGGGCCACAACTCTAGTCGCCTTCGAGCTTCTTGAATCAATGGTTGAGCCATGTACAATGGGCCAACTGTAAGCACATCAATAACTTTAGCAGGGACCACACATGGGGGACCATATTCAACATAAATAACAGAACCGTTGTGAGGGGGGACAACAGATATAGTTCAATGTCTTAGAACACGTACCTTCTTGGAACGAGTTAACACCCACAACCGTATTCTCGTACTACGACCAAAAAAGCAGCCCTCTTACAAATCCTTGCAAGTGCACACGCGATCTCGACCCAGAAACCACCCTAACTCACAATGTTCACCAGTAATATAGCTCACGAGTAAACTTGGGGTTTTTCACAAGTAACCAGTATTGTTAGTGTGTCACAACAGTAACGACCAAGGTAGTGGATACCAAGGTAATGGATGGGTAATGTCAATGAACGACGTTGTCTGCTTGTAATACACACATTTAAGTCATCTTCAAAACGTCGTCGTCCTTTGTCCAGCGTGGATTGTCATTTGTCACATTCTGACTCAGCAAACTAACGTTCCAAGTGTGCACCGTTACATTGGCCGTTGGATGCCAACTAACAGAATGACTAACGTGGCTTCTTTTTTAAAATTAAAGGGACCACGAGTGGCCTTTTTTATTGCAAGGGACCAAAAAGGGTTTCGTGAAATTTGTTAGAGACCAAAAATGGTATTTACTCTCTCTTTTTTCAACCATTGATTTCAATTGGATCCAACAATAATCAAATTGATAATAGGAGAAGGATATTGTAACAACCAATTGGTGTTACTATCAATCAATTTCACTTTTAGATCGATTATATTGATCCACAGTTATATTTATTTTCATCTTTGTATAGTTATGATTCCCTATATTTAATACTTTATATTTATTTTCATTTTTGTATGGTTATGATTTCTCATATTTAATTAAATATGAGAAATCATAACCATACAAAGATGAAAATAAATATAATCGTTGGATTAATCGTTAGATCTAATGATGAAATTGATTGGTAATAACATTGATTGATTGTTACAGTATCCTACCTCTTAATAATAAGAATAATAAGGCTAAAATGATAATAACTATAAACTTCCGCAATTTTATCACGAATTGAAAATTTTGTTTTATATATGTATACTGAAATAGAATAATATTTCATAAATACACCCAATTTTCTCCACTTGTTGGGGAGAGTGAGAATCTGAGTCTACACTCATTGGTTCTCTTTCTCTCGTTCCTGAATTAGCCTAATTTGGGAGCGCAATTTCTCTCACTTTGTGTTTCCTGTCTCCCATCTTTTCCCGGCTATTTGCGTTATCTTGCATCACTGTCCATCAAACCCTAATTTCCCAAATCACATTCTCTTCATATTCCTCCCTGCCCTTTTTTCTGCCCCTCATGCTAAATCCACTTCAATCCCCAACAACACATTATTATCTCTCTGAATGATCCATTTGGTCCATATCCCACTTGTTCTTTTCCCCAATCTTTTCTCTTGATAAAATAATATTCCCTTTTCCTTCTGTCATATTCAATTCTTTCGTTGGGGTTGTGTTTTTTTTTGTGATTCCCTTCAATCCAATTGGAAAAATTTGAGAACTTGGGTATTTGCAGATTGATGGGGTTGTTCTTTTGAGTCTTTATTCTTTCTTGTAGGGTTTCTTTGTGTTTTTCTACCCGTTTCTGCTTAGGTTATGTGCAGTGAAGATAACAAGAAAATGGCTTTTGATTCTTCTAGGGGATCAAGCTTTTCGGTTCCGCAGGAGAAGAGTTCGTGCCCGTCAATTGGGTCAGTTTTGGATGGCTATTTGATCAAGAATTGTGGTCTTTTTGGCAATTCTTGCAGCTTGTGTAGTTTCAATGGGAACTTGGAAGGAAACCCATGTTTCGAAATGATCAATGCTGTGTTGAGTGACTTTGATGATCCGGAGGAAGTGGCAGTTGATGATGATGTTCTTGATCTCTTGCCTATTGATCCTTTTGGGATGAAAATAGATTCTACCTTCACGGCAATCTCGGATTGGATTGATGATTTTGAATATGGTTTCCTGCCAGAGGATGATGTGTCTGGGGTTGATGAAACCCATCAAAATGTTGGTGATCATCTTCACATTTGGGGTCTGAGTTGGAGTTGGAATGGCACTGAGAATGAGATGTTAGTTTCAGATGATGTTTTCAATGGATATCAAAATTTTGATGGAATGTATGATGGTAGTGTTAGTGATAGGGACGATAGGATTTCAAGCAGTGAAGCAGAGAAATCCGAAAACTGCACCAAGATTGAATGTGATGCCCAAGGAGGTGTTCCACATGATGCTTTGTTTTTTGTGTTGGGGTATCTAGGTGTTCGGGACCTTCTTACAGTTGAACAGGTTTGTAGATCTATGCGTGATGCTGTTAGAGGTGATCCTTTGTTATGGAGAACTGTGCACATTGATCACCCATTAAACAGGAGGATTACAGATGATACACTGGTGAAGTTAACTAGCAGGGCTCAAGGTACTCTTCAGTCCCTGAACCTAGTGAACTGCATATGGATCACTGACAGTGGTCTGGGGCGTGTTCTACAAAGCAACCCAAGATTGGTGAAGGTTAGTATTTGTAACATGATCCAAAACCTAGCATCTACATATTATTACTTAAAGCTATTTAGTCATATTTCTTGCTGAATACATGTAGCTTAACTTATATTTATTTTGCTTTCTCTCTTTTACAATGTACTGCAGTGACCATATTATATCATTTTTGTAGAGTCAATACATTTTGAAATATCTCCTTTACATCAAAGATTATCCCAGAAATATGTGTTTGAGAGCTATGTTTTTTAGAAGTTGCAAGTATTGTACTCATGTACTGGTATATTTTAGGTTTCATGCCTGTGGTATTTTGTACTCATTTGTTCTAAATGTTCATGATGCTGATCTACAATATCTCGTGCCACGGTCAATCAAAGCTCAGCTGGATCTTTATGTTTACTTTAGCTTGATATTAGAAACATGCATATGCTTGTGCTGCTGTGCAAATGTATCTTCATTATATGCCAAATTTGTGCAGATGCTGATCTACATAATATCTTGTATATATTATGTCCATGTCTTTTCTGGAGAAAAACTGACAAATTTGCATGTACCTTTTTCAGCTATATGTGCCAGATTGTGTTAAACTCTCGATCGAAGGCATCTTATTCAATCTAAGGGCTCTAAAGTCATCTGGAAAACCTGGTATAAAGCACTTACGAATTGGTGGGCTTCTTGGTGTTTTCCGTGTGACAGATCAGCAGTTTGAAGAGTTGAAGGAGTTACTGGATGCAAGCAAGTATTTGCAAGAGAGAGATCACAAGCCACAAGTCTACTATGGAGATTATTCACATATTATACGTGAAGATGGCCGTGCAATTGACATAGAGGCGTGTCCAATATGCAAGAGACTGAGACCAGTTTACGACTGCCCTGCTGAGAGTTGCCAACAGAAACATAAGGCTGCTCAGTTGTGTAGGGGTTGCACATTATGCATAGCACGTTGCATCAATTGTGGACAATGCATTAAGGACTTCGATTATGAAGAGACATTCTGTTTGGATTTGCTTTGTTTGAATTGTTGTAATAAGTTCCTGCATCGTCCAGACAACTCAGTGGAAAAGGAAGGTACAAAGTGTACTATTATTTGTCTCTATGGCTAATGGAGTATTCCTGCTTTATATGATCTTTTGGGACTTTGGATCAGAATCTGCCCATTTGGCTGCTTGGTTTTTGATGTACAACATTGAGCTGAGTGTGCATTCGGTAGTCAATGTATAACATTGTGAAGGTTTTTGTTGGAATTACTCAGCACCTGAGCTTCAGTTGCATAATGAGCAGCTGAGCTTTTTCTTACTGATAAGGAAGAAGAAACAGTTATTTTGAATTAAGAAAAGAATAAATAGAAACATGTAAAATCTAATAGTGTTGAATGTGCCTTCCTTTTTGGACCAAGAGCTGTTTCATGAAATGTTGCCTTCTGCTGTGGAATTGGTGTCTGAGTTCATCGAAGTGAAGAAGCATGGGTATCTCTTCATTTTTGATGTAATGATGTGGCATGTGTATAAATTTTTCCCAACTTGGGTGGCTTCATGATATGGTGCCACTGCCTTCTGCAGGCTGCAGTGGAATTGTGTTCATTGAGGTGAAGAATGTGTTTTTCTTGACGGTTGATGTAGTGGTGATGCTCTTGTATAAACTTCTTCTGAAGCAGGGTGACTTCATGGTGCTTGCGGTGGATCTTGTATCTTGAGTTTTGTTGCAGTGAACTGTGAAGAATATGTTGCTATTGATGTTCAGTGTCTTTTGTTGCTTGTAATTAAAGTTGGAAATCATTTTGAAGAGAAGCCAGATTTTCAAGCAATCAATTCAAGGTTCGGATATTTTCTGGAGCTGTTTGATGGCTGAAGCAATAAATTCAACCATTCTACTTTGGCAATGCAACTGCTTTGTAAGATCTGTTTGTAATCTATCAATAAGCAATTGCCTTGTCTATTAATAATCCCCCCTCCAAGAAAAAAGGGAAGGAAAATAAAAAAAAAAATACTTTTTCCTCTCCCTAGATTCCATTTAAACTCTCTGGAAGTTGAGACATTATCCATGTTGATACTTGGTAGAAAAAGGTGATGTTTGACTCTTTACTTATAAAGAAAAGGGGAAGAGAAGTGCCAAATTTTTTATCATCTGTTTCATTGTTTATTTGTTTTTATCTAATTGTTCTTTGCTTTTCACATCAGCTCCTTGTTTATTTTCATCTATTATCCTCTTTTGCTTCATGTGCATATGCTATACAATATCTTCTCTAAAAAATGTGAAGATAGGAAATGTAGGGTGTTATGATAACCATTTTGTTCTCTAGCATTATTATCTGAAGAGATTTTTTTTTTTTTTTAATTCCTGTGCTTCCGAAGAGTTTTTTTGAGAGAGAAAAAAAAGTGTTTGACAACATAATTTATTTGTTTTCTCAAGAAAGTATGTTGCGTTTGTTCTTTCTGCCCTTTTGTTCAAATTTCAAAACTTTAATTCAATACTCTTCTTGCATTGAACCCAACGTGCAAGATTATCTCGTTATTTCCATCCGATGGTCTTATTGCGAAAAGCTGGCAATATGGACACTATATTTATCTTTTTCATTAGCGAATTGTGAGACTCGGTTAAAGTTGTGAGATGAGTTATATTTACAAGTTTTTTGTTTACAAATTCAATTATGTATTTCGAAAAATATATATTTAAGTGTTTGTATTCTCTGGAATACATATATAAGTTTGTAAACAAAAAAATTGTACATCTAATCTAATCTTAAAGTTGCAATGTTGAACATTGATGTAGTGGCTTTATGAAGTCTGTCCCATAATTAATCTTTGTAAATTTTTTACACACTGCTTGCTTGTTTTGTATTTGATCTGCTTATTGCAAATTTAAATGTGAATTCCGATTATATACGTGGATAAAAGAAGTCTTATATTAGAAAAGAATAAAGAAAGTTCATACTTATAAATGGGAGTACAAACTGTTAATACTTTATAAACGAAGGACATACGAACTTCTTATTTTAATGTTTTAGGTCAAGACATGGAGTGAGACTTATCATTATGGTTTTTTCTTTTAAGTTTATTGATGCTTATTTCGGGCTTTTTCTTTTCTTTTTCTTTTGATTTTTTAGATATTAAAGCAAGTTACACAGGTTTGTGCTCTAATATATCACAACTGGAATACATTTATTCAAGACGAGACATCCAGCTCCCTAACAATACTGAGGAACTCTTCGTTAAAGTTTTATGTAGAAAAACTTACAGAATCAGGGATCTATTTTTCAATGCGTATATTCCAATGGGTAGACTACAAATGCACCTTTAAAAAGGAAAAATTATAATCAAAATAGCTACGTTATTGCATGGGAGCTGACAAGTGAATTTAATAGCACGTGTTCTATTTGATCTTTCGCAATATTATTTTTGAATGGAATTTAAAATTTTAATCCTGGACACGTGCGGTTTATCCAAAAAATAAGGAAAAATTATAAAGCTGAACGACCGAATTGCCTGCCTTCAAACATGCGTGTAAAGTTGTAAAGAAATTTTAATATAATTTAGTTGCATTTAAGGGTGGAGAAATTCTTAGATAAGCACTATCGACCAAGGATACATTAGACAACATTAAACATCTGTAAACTTGAGTGAATCATGTTAAAAATATATACTTACGTAGTTGTGTTAAAAAATCATATTTTTGACGGTATATACCTTTTAGAGGTTATATTTTTTTTAATGGGAAAAAAAGATTTTTGGAAATATGCCATGGTGGGATTTTTTTTTTTTCTAAGTAAGTTACGAAAAAGTGTTTGGTAAGTCCAAATTTTTTTCAAGAATATTGGATTAATTCTACTGATGCTATGAAAAAAAATAAAAATACTATGTATTTGACAGTATTTTTGTATGGGAATATCATATGTAAAATGGAATGATGGGAAAAAAAAATTCCTGAGATTATTTTCAGTTTTTTCATGCCAAAGATTGAAAACAAATTTGCCCCACCCCACCTTCCCAAGATTTCAAAGAAAATGTCCATACCAAACAGCCGCTTAAGCTGCAGCGCTCATCAATTCAAGACTCGTTAACATTTTAAAAGTTCTGTGAAAATGTAGCATGGTACAAAATTATAATAATGGTAATATTAGTTCTAATTGCCTTCACTAATTTTCATCACATCATATAAATCTGAATTGTCAAACAAGGTTGTAAAGAAAACCCAAAGAATAACCCTAAATCCTATACCTTAATGACTCACTCTCGTATTGTCCTGTTTAAGTTAGCATTGATTTTATTTTTCTTGTCTTCTCTCATAAAATTTTCTTATTATACCATTGACACAACACAACCCAAATTCAACATGAACACAAATATACTCAATGCAAACACGGCACAAATTCGAAATCGCCTTCGACACGAACACGGTCCACTAATTTTGCTAGTTAACACGACATAATAGAGGTGTTCGCGGTCTAAATTGGACTGGTTTTGAAGCAGAAATTATCTGATCCAATCTCTTCGATTTGATCATTAATTATCTAGTTGGTTTCCTTTTTTTTTAAATCCAATACACTTTTATTCGATTTGGAGTGGATCGGTTTTCGATTTTTTGAAAAGTTTAAAATTTCAATCATACAAATCACTAACTATATCAAAATAAAGTCATTCAAAGTTACACACTAGTGAAAAATTCAAGTCTTCAAACTAAAATAAGTCTTCAAACTCATAAAGAGTTAAAATAGATTAATAGACAATAAAAAACTAAAACAAGATAGTTTGGTATAAATAACATCCAAGATTCCAAGTTACCATCTTTCAAAAATAACAAATACATAATACACTGGTCGATTTTCACCAACCAAACCAAAAATCGATCTAATCCAATTAAAATATGCAGGGTTTTTTTTTTGGTTTTTGTTTATTGATTTTTTGATTCGGTTACTGCGGTTTGAATCAGTTTGGATCGATTAATGAATACCCCTACGACACAACATGACACAAATAAACTGCAAACTTATAGTGTATCACTTACTATGCGGATTGACATGATACGACACAAATAATTGTAAACTTCAAATTATGTTACTTATTATGCAGGTTGATACAATACAATAAGATACGAATAACCAATAAGAATATAAGAAAATTAATGCGAGTTAATTTCAAGTTTACTGATTGACACGCAACAAAACCGAATCTTATCGGGTCAGTTTTATCAACCTAAACACGACATGAATTTGAAACGGGTTGAATATTGTTCTGGATGGCCCAAGCACTGGAGCGGCCCAGTTACTCAGGCCCAATCCTCAGCCTTCTTCTGCGTCAGCCATTAGGGCTGACGTGGACCCTCACGATCTCCAAGACTGCAGCACGTCCAAAAGATACACCAAAATATCCCACTTTGGGACATTAACCGCTAAAGGCAGTCGCCATAAACACTGCAAAGGAATCTGCCCCTTTGCTCAGTGCTGACATCGCCTGATGCAGTGGGTGCAGCGCTGCCATTGTGGCAGCGCCAACCGCGCCTAACACTGCCATCAGGGGAACACATCCCAAGGAGGGCTGACCCCCACCTCACCAACCCACACCATTTTCCTTATAAATAGCCCTCATGGGCACAGCAGGAAGAGCATCTTTTATGTACTGTATTTATGCCCATTTACTCTTAGGGGGTGTTTGGTTCAAGTTTTTGGAGAGGATTACCGGTAATGCTTCTTTGGTAAATGTAATTACCACGTTTGGTAGAAGGAATAAATTACGATTCCCGGATATCCAAGGATTACCGGTAATTTGATTTATAAAGAAAAGTCACTATTCAGATTACCAAAAATAATATGGTAATTCGGAATACCAATCAGAATACCAAGTAAAGGGAAAGCACAACAATAAATTTTGAGACAAAAATACCCCAATACACATAAAAATCTAGACCCAATCTATCAATTACAAAAGTAAAAATAGTTTGGGGTTATTTTTGTAAAATAACCTCATATTCCAAGTCATATTTTGTTCTAAACCAAATATGGAATCAGTAATTTTTACCCAGTATTCCCGGTAATATTTTGGCGAACCAAACACATCTTTCGTAAGATTCCAAGTAAATTCAATTTCTACTGAATTCCCATTAATCATGATTCCCGGTCACCAAAAAATTTCTCCTGTACCAAACACACCCTTAAGTCATACCCTTACTATTTATCTACCATTGATATCTGCTTACTTGTTCTTGGAATAATACCTTCTAGCCTGGTCATTACCTCAGCTAGAGGTACCATCCATACAACAACATTACCCTCAAAGGGTACATAGTGGGCTCACAGAACCAAACGGTACATTGGCACCGTCTGTGGGAAAAGATAAACTTCTATTCCCATTCTCTTACCCAAAGATCCATTTGACGGGTCATTTCCTCTTACTAACAAACAACCGCCAGACGCTTTTTAGAACTCTACATGGTTGTCACCACCAGGAGAGCAGAGCACGCCAGGGCCATGACGCCAGAAGGACACGTACAGACAGTACAACCAAGCTCCCCTCCATCCATGCATTCGGCCCCAGCCGAGCGGGCCGCTGGAGAAGTCCAACCTCCTGTACTACAGACCATAGGCCCACAGTTGCCAACGAATGATGCTAGGATCGCCCTGCAACATCATCAAGCACCCATGTGCGAGATGCAGGGAGAAAATGTAGTCCTAAATCAGCCACCTCCCCCCGGAGTCCATTTTGGAATGCCATTTCCAGCAGTTGTCCCACGACCTGCCTATCTCACCCGTCCTCCGTTACCAGCCCAAAGTCAACCACTGCCAGTATACCATGACTGCCAGAAACCCATGGTCGCCCCATACCTTCCTAGGCCATACACGCCTAACGTGGCTTTTCCTTTTCAACTACCTCACCAAGCTGGTTTCCATTTCCATGGCTACGCCATGCAACCCCATAACGCAGCCGTTCCACAACCTCAGGCATCTTGCCTGAATCCTAACCAACAACCATATCACGCTCAGCAAGCTTTCCACCAAGCCCCAGCCCTCTCCTACTCCGTTGAAGCCCCACAAATTCCTCGTCCACAACGAGAACATATCAGAGTAACGCCTGCCCACACGTCAGGGCGTAACAAGTCTTTGACCGATAGCCT